ACCTGCAAGCAGCAGAGAAAAGTGAGAGCGCCTTCAGTTGAAGCTTTATATAATTGAGTGTGACCGTGTGGCAATGTTTGTATTTTTCTGTCGTTCTTGACTTGGAATTGCTGGTCAGGGACCAAGACAGGTCATGTGATATGTGCCCTTGATTTTTGCTCAGTAATACACCAATTGCTACTAGGGTGGAGGCCATCACTACTAGGTTTCTTTTGCTATTCGGTTGGAGAGGCTTTGGTTCGAACCGGTCGCCGGTATGGCTCCGTATGGCTCGCTGGGAGCGACCAGGCCGCACTGGCGGAGATCTCCAAGAGCGCCAAGGTGCCGCTGCAAGGGATCCACCGGCGTCTCCGAGCGGTCAATCATAAATGATTTTTTATATATATATATATAGAGAGAGTAATGATCCTGGGTTCAATTGCTCCTATATAGAGGTATTATAGAGGTTTTGTTCATGTAACACACATTCACAAACCAAGCATCGTGTGTATATATCTATCTGTCTCTCTGTTTAATATATATATATATACAGTATATGGTTATGCACACCCATTGCCATTGCATGCAATAAGCCTCTTTGATTGCACTGCGGCAGGGTTGGTGAACTCAAGGACAATGATTAGTCAGCTTTAGACACAACTCGTGGAACAGTGAATGTGACGTAAACATTTGTGGTAGCGATGTTTTTCATTTCCAAGTGAGCTTGTAAGCAGGGAAGAGAGGCAGGATTGGATTGCATTTTTAGGTAGATCGGGGATGGTTAATGGATGTCAATGGCGAGGTTTGTCATCGTGAAAATTCATGATGTAGACAGGTGAAGGTCATGCCATCAGGAGGCTCGTAAAGCATTGACATGCTGTGGCTCAGGTAAGCACATCATCAACGCAAAACATGATGGCAGAGTCTAAGAATGCCGAGGCCGGCATTGTTCCAAAGTCAGAAAGCACAAAAGGTCTCCACCGATTCTACCCCGTCTGAATTCCGTGGAGAAAAATCAGCAGCCTGCACCAGCCAGTCTTAGGTTTTCTAAAAGGGCACGCTTGCCAGATAGGATGTTGATAGCTTCAATCGAGTCCATCTCGAAGGTCGGACCTCCAGACCCTCGGGTCAAGCCGATGAGAGTGGGTTGTTGTGAACTGTGAAACATTTGTATAGTTTAGTGATGATCAGATGATATCAGATGTATTCCTCAAGAGACAACCCCTTTCGGGTCTGGTTATATTATGCCATTTATGTGAAACGATTGTGTTTCTGTGTTTCATGTTTCCCGACGGAGTCGCCGACAGGCTAAGATGCTGGAGGAGAGGACCCAAGCCATGGCGTGTGAGGCGGCGCTGAGAGAAGGCGCGGCCGAGCGGCTGGCGACTGCGGCGCGTCCGTCGCGGCACTCAAATGACTCGCTTGGATCAGACGGACAACCTCAAGGCTGAACGACCTGAGATGGACTCGATTTCATGAGATTTCTATACTTGGGCTTATTCCAGTCAAAGATGTCTATAAAGATGAACTCAATCAACCCCCACATTTATGATTGTTTTGACCGTTCTCACAGTTTCTTTCACCGGCGGGACAACATGCCAGGTCTAGCCGCCCAGGCGAGGAAGCGCTCGCATCCAAAGAGAGATTGGTGTCACTGTCAAAGCTTGAACACTTAATCGACTCAACATGATTCAACTAAATTTGGCCGACTTTTTGTGGTGAATCACAACTTTGAAGGCTGGGATAGAGAATCTACAGGGGTGCCAAAGTTGTTTGCGCGATTTGCTCAGACTAGCGAGCACAAAGCCCTCGTTGAGAAGACGCAGGACGCCATGAGGGCTCTACTGATGTCAATGATGTCCTTGCATGGCGAACACCACTGGCCACTGGTGCTCCATTACCGATTCAATTGAGGTGTTTCCTGGACATGAGTCCTTCGAGCCATAAGTATATATATATATATTTTTTATGATAGCCAGGAGTTTCTTCACCTTTCACCTCTGGACCCACACGGTCCAAGACAAAAATGATGATTGAGGATGATGTGATGTTTGTCAAGTGTCCTCGCATGGAGCTCGCTCTGTATACAGTACATTACAGTACCCTGATCCAAGCGACCATTCTCTTCCGAGTCCCTTCAACGACGTGAGTTGGGGATCGATTCCGAGACCGTACGCTACTGTTACAAAGTCATTCAGTGAATTGGGAACCAGCAAAGAAGTGAATCCTGAATCCTCATATGTCACCACCAAAAAACCAGACCTTTTTTGCCCGCAATTCTCGCGTCACCTGGCTCGTGTGGCTCGGGGTCTTTGGTCTCCTGAGGAGCATGAGAAAGCGGTGGCCAAACGTTTTGAAGAGCTGCAAACGGCCAGCGAGGCGTTGAACACGAAGCCATCTCGAGTGAAGCCGGTCATGATTGGTCGAAGCCGAGGTTGGTGGCCAAATCGGACCAAGCCTTTCAACACCAATGTCATGTAGATCGACATCATGTCATGAAAATAACTTTGCGCGTGGAGATGATATGGCATGCTGGGTTAGTTATATAATCTTGTTTTCATTAATTTTCTAGAACACTTTATTCTATTTGTTGATCCCATTTATTTTTGATTAGGAAGAGGTAAGCTTTCAAACGTTTGGCACTTCGCAGCTTTATGATGAGCATACCTGATCTTCCCCATGTGCACAATGTGAGCCCATCCCTTCAATCAAACCGGCCAACATCCCCAATGCTTGTGGAGGCTGACAAGGCCTCGGCCGCCGCTGCCCGGGCAGAGGACCAGAATGCGCACGAGGCTCGGACCTTCGGACAAAATGCGGAGGCATGGGTGTGCGGTAGAGTCACTAGATTGCAGATGCGACATGACTAGTTGGAACGTATTGTATTCAGGGCGATTCAGGGTGACGACAATTTTTATTTGTTGTGACATCTCCGAAACCATGCTAGCGAAATCACCGGAAGATTGGACGCCAGAATGATTCAATATACAAGTACAATCAAGTATATACACAAGTGAGCCAGAACTGCCAAAGCCGGTAATTGCTCACCGCGCCACTCAAACTCATTGAAATGTGTGTTTTTTGCGTATCGTCAGATGCTTTGCCAGGGCCTGCCCGTCCTATTGGCATGCAAGAACATTGCCTACACGCTGCAGGATGACAAGGTCTGCAACATCAAGCTTTCTTGGGGTCAAGTCGACGCCACCTAGATGTTTCCTTCAATGCAGTTACCTCGTTCCCACTACAATGTTACAATGCCATACAATGCCACTGTATGCTGTAGTACCAAATGAAGGCCAAAGCCAACCCCCAAATATCTTCAGTGAATGTCCCCCAAAAAATGGACTGCAACATCACCCTGGCGTATGAATTACTGCAGTGATTCACCCTCACGTTCTTTTTTTTGACAGGTGAAACTAATTGTCCTCGGTGTCAACCTCATGACTCCGTCAAAGTGCAACAACTGAGGTCGCCAAAAAGTTCTTCAACAAAAGCGAGTTTGCCGACTGGTGGGTGGAGCACCAGCCCCATCGCAGGCCATCGCTATAGTTGTTCAGTTTCCATGTTCTCCATCCTTCGCATTCGTGCGAACGATCGCGTGTCCTCGTGTACGTCATTGTGTCCTTCCACTAGAGGAACACATCCACATGGAAGCCCAAATGGTAAAGCCGTCTTAGAAGACGACGTTCCTATCTGTAAACAGGGTGGGAACTCCACTTCCATGTGATGTGTTCGTTGGAGAGTACATGTTTTACATGTTACTTTGCTTGCACTGCCAATAGCTTCTTGTTACTACTAGTAAGGCACTTGTTCCTAGTAGCTTATTGTTTCTAATAGTTTCTTGTTACTACTAGTAAGGCACTTGTTCCTAGTAGCTTTTTGTTTCTATTAGCTTCTTGTTACTACTAGTGAGGCAATGCCAACGCGAATCTTCGCCCGAGTGAAGCTGGGAATGCTCACCATTTGTGCATAGACATGCCGTGCCCACGTTTCAAGACTGATCAGGGCCTTTGAAAGGCAAATGTGCGCGTTTCGTATTGGCAAGATGCATGATGGCAACTCAGCAAAGGACGCAAGGCATGATTTGCTGCATTTGAGGTTCCTGAATCGCTCGTTGTGGCTCACTCAGGCGGACGACGAAGTGCCCATGAATCACAGTCAGAGCTTGGGCATGTTAGGTTTCAGAAAAGTCTTTGTGACTTCAACGATGTGTTTTTTTACATGTTCTTTTAGATGTTCCACTTCGCTCATCCAGAATCACATTGTCCGCCTGGACTCTATCAACTCTACTTACGCGGCGCGTGGGAGTCATGGCGTATTTCCCAGGTGTCTCGTCATGTCACAGATGCCTCCACCTAATGGCCTCGATACTTAATGATTTTGCAAGAAGAGAACTGCTTGGTAAAATGCCAACACATACCCTCCCTGTCAGCTTCCTGTGAAACCCAACACGTGCCAAGTCGCAGTCGAAAATGTGACTCATCCGTTCCAGAAAGCGTTCGAGGAAATGCATGCTTTGATGCATTGTGTAAAGAAACGTTCTTGTTCAGAGCACTGTTCTTGTTACCAACCGGAAAGAACGGAATACTCGAAGAAGGAAGTGTCCAAAACGTGCCCCAACTTGAACATGATGATAAACATCATATGTCATATGTCCCAAAACATTCACCAAAGACGTGCGGTCGAACAGCAGGCAGCTTGGTGGATATCAGCGGCCTGCCGGGGAAGGCCACTCCCGTGCCTTCGGCCGCAGTGCTTGGGGTCCAAGCGGTGGACCTCAACGGAGACTCCGCGCAGCTGCTGCACTTCGACAAGGCCGATCGGGTGGTCGGGGTCTGCACGGGTGACCTGAGACGGCCTACCCCCTAATAGCTTCCTTGTTATCGGTAGCGATGCCTTTCGTTGCTAGTAGCTTCTTGCTCCTAGTAGTACGACCTGAGAGAGAAGGTAGGAACTTGGCATAGTTTATGTTCCGCCAAAATAAACTTAACACAAAAACTAAACCTTCTCCAGAAAAGAAGGCACTTCTCCTCCAGCGTTTCCTGGAAAAAACACAGGTTTTGTTTATGGATTTCTCCTCTTCGGGTCGGTCCGTCGGATTCTCCGAACCCACGCCGTCGCGCATTCCTCGCCGTCGCAGGGGCTCCAGAAGTGGATCGCCGCCACCTTCTCGGGGCGCACCATCGCCATCGACGGGCAGCACGTGAAGCCCGTGACGTCGGAGGCGGTCGCGAACTACGATGCTCGACTCGGCGGTCAGCTGGTTGGTGTGTGGTGTGTGGAGGCCATCGCTAGTAGGTTGCAGTCCATTACTACGAACGTAACAAGAAGCTACTCGTAACGAGGGCATCGCTCCTAGGAGCAAGAAGCTACTAGGGGCTCCTGGCCGTACTACTAGTAACAAGAAGCTACGCACGGTTGGAGGCCATCGCCAGAAGGTTGTGTGTTGTTCTTGTTTTCTCATGGTGTATTTGGAGCACGAGCACGGGTGACTCTCCAGGTGGGGGGTGATCTGCAGAAATTGGTGAGAAATCTAGCTTAACTCCAATGGTTTTGACAATGACAATTTTAGCAATATCTGGGTCTCAAATCCTATGGGTGGAAATCCAATCCCAAGAGATGGTTGACAGACTGCTATTGACAATGCCTTCGCAAACCAGGTTTGAATGAACACAGATACTCTACCTGCAAGCTGCAAGACCTTGTTTCCCAAGGCGCTCATGACTCCGAGTGTACTCCAAACATACTCCTAGTTCTTGGTAGGGTGGATTCTTGGCAAGCTCTTGCGGCCTGCCTCTCTTGAGGCTGTAGGTCTGGAATTCCTTGTTTCTTTCTTCCTTGTTTATCTTCCTCTATTCTTCTCGGACCTTCTCCTCTTCCTTTCCGATTTAGGTCTAGACGACTACGACCGTCATGCTCGGTCCCAAGGATTTTGTGCTTGGCCCCAAGTCCGACTACGACCTGAGCGGCCAAGAGATCACCGCGGCTCTGGCCACCAAGGGTTACGCCCTCGTGAAGCTCATCGTGGCAGAGGAAGATGCCGCTGCGATGCTGGACACTTGGGATGGTCGGCACAGCAGGAGTTTATATGGTTTTATCATTTCAGAACAGAAGGAGGTGTTCACGTTCTTTTCTTCAATTTTTTTCAATGTGTTTTCTTTCAATATGCTACCTGTGGGCGCCTTTCAAGGGGGTGAGCCTTTGCATCTCCCACTAACAACCCTTGAAGTGATCGGCCAAGTGAATGCACACTGTTTGAATGTCCTTCCCCTGAAGTTGCAAGCGAAACCTTACGAATTGCAGAAGTCGCTGTACATCTTCGTGCAGTTTTCTTCCACGCTGTACTCAGGATGTAGCGAAACGTTTAGATGACGATCAGCAGTTTAGCCGGCTGGCCATCGAGTTCGAGCGTGGCTACCTGGGAGATGATGGCAATGCCAAGACTTTGCACATCGGCTTGGACGCCCCGGACACACCTGACTACATCAAGCAGTCGCCCCTGAAGACCATGGACAACAACTTCGGGCAGATGTGTAGCATGTTGTCCAAGTACTCGGAAGAACATCTAGGCTTTGAGGTTTACAGCCGAACCGATGCTTGGCTTGGAAGGGGTCGGAGTGGCTTCGTTGCTGGGTTCACTCATCTCGTTTCACCTCCCCCACTCATCTCCCCTCGCAGCTAGAAGCTTCCTGGGGAATCGTTTCACTGGGAATCGTTTCACCTGTAACAAGAAGCTACTAGGAGTGGTCTTTGAAGCTACTAGTAGCAAGGACGCTATTAGTAGGTCTTTGGACGCTACTAGGAACAAGAAGCTCCTAGGAAGCATGTGCGTTATCAACTCGTCGACGCGGGTCGACCCCCACAGAGAGACTTCGCCTGGCTAGGAGATGCTCTTGCGGATGCCGCTGGCCGACCATGAGGAGGACGGGGGGGCGGTGGAGCCCAGTCCGGCTTGAGGGATAACTGAAAGAATCACACATTACCCGGGAAAAAGAGAAACGGGTAATGAAAAATAGAAAATGAGGAAAGATGAGGGTAAGATGAGGGCAAGTAAAAGAATGTAAAGAAACACATCAATGTTCTTTTCTGCTCCTTGTAAGTGGTAGTGACGGACGAGGTCATTTAAGACGTTATTGACTCACTCCTCCTGCTCCTCCTCCTTCTTCTTCTATTCTGTTCTTCTTGTTAGCGATGGCCTCCAACCTACTTGCGATGGCCTCCACCTAATAGCGTCCTTGCTCCTTCTCCTTCTTCTTCTTCTTGGGCTCTTTAGACCTTTCTTTCTTACCTTCTGTCGCCAGGACAAGTTCCCGCCTGCGGACATCGATGACGGAGACGCGGAGGGCTTCATGCACTTGATGTACCGCAGGAAGTTGACGGTGCTACAGTCGCCCGGCGGGTTTTGCCACGAGGTCTGCTTGAAACGTGCATGAAGATGGAAGAAGAAGACAAAGGAAAAGGAAGAAGTTCGGAAGAAGAACGAAAGACACGGCTTAAAGGTTCTTAGCAAGAAAAGAACAGATGCCTCTTCAATGCTTAAGTTCCCTAAAAATCTAGGAACCGATTGACTACGGCGGGGGAGCTTCCTTGAAGAAGCCTGAGCTTTCTGACTACTTATCCCTTACTACTAGCTGCTTAAGCTTACCTATCGCGTCTCAAAAAGAAGAAATATATCTAATGAAAAACGATGAAACAAAAATTGATTAGAGAACATGCATCGGTCCCAGGTTCGTGGGTCCCTCCGACGGCGCCTTGAAGCTGCTGCCGTTGAAGGAAGGCGACGTGAGCGGCCGATTGCTTCGTTCTTGCTTCCTTTGTTTACAAATTTGGTCGCAAAGAACAAGAAACGATCTAAAGGTTTGGACAGAAA